TCCCCGCCGGACCCGGCGGACTGGCACGGGGTGTGGGCAAGCACCGACGTGTTAAGAAACAGCATCCGGGGAGGTTTTGTGCTGACGGCTCCGGCTTGAGGCTGATGGAGCTGCGAAGATGCTGCTTTGCCAGGACGCAAAGATGGGGCAGCATCACCTGTTGGTGGGCTCCATCCTCATCCTCACTGCTTGCTGCTCTCCTCCTGGACCAGGAGGGAGGTGGCACCCATTTCCCCAGGGCATGAGCCCCCCCCGGCAGCCCAACCCCACCACCCGCTGCTCCAGTGAGCACCCATGGGTGCTGCAGGTGTGGAGGATGCTACCAGAGGTGGCCCGGGCTCCCCATGTAGCAGTCCAGGAGGTGCCGCTGATCCTGCAGACCCCCACCAACCTCTGTGCCTGACTCAGGGATGAAGCTTTTAATGGTGACGGTTTTCCCCGGAGCTGGGAAGGGCGACTCCCGAAGTCCCTGCATGAAGGGGTAAATCACCGCCATGGAGATCTGGCGCCTCTTCTCCACCTCGTCTAGGATCTGGGGGAGAAAAAGGTGAGCTGTGAAACCCCAGCAGGCAACGGAGTGGCTGCCTGGGCCACCACAGTGTCAGATGGAGCCACCACATCCCTACCTTGGAGAAGAGTCCGAAGCAGCCCAGGCAGCTGATGATGCAGAACACCTCAGGGAGGCGGACACCACGGCCGGATGGCTGGAAGAGGATGGGAGAAGGGTTTGAGCATCTCCCAGCCCCACCACGCTGGCTCTGTGCTCTCCCCAGAGATCCTCCCTGGCCCCACTCACCCCCACCAAGATGCCAAATCACCCACTGGGGGATTTTCAGAGCTGGGACTCAGGCCAAGGATGCAGTTGGTGCTGTAAAAGCAGAGGGTGCCCAGGACCAGGAGAAGGCAATTCAGATGCCAAAGTTGTTAATCATTTTGGTTCAAAGTGTTTTGGCATATTCCCCATATTCCCAAACTTTCCTTGCCCCCAGCCATGTGTCCTCTGAGACATCCTGCCCCACCATCCTTGGGGCTAATCCTGTCTCCTACTGAAACAGGGACCATCAGGATGAGCGCCCAGGCTGGTTTTCCCTTTCCAGCTGGATTATCCTGGGTCCATTTGCTCTCTGCACTTTCAGCCCTCCAGACAGGCAGAGCTCAGCCCTGGATGCAGAGGTGGGCAGGTTCACCAGGGAATGAAAGGGTGGTGTGATCCAGCAAGTCACCAAGCTATGGCACATAGCCCTGTGCCTTTATGTCCCTATTTGAGCAGGCTGCACGTAAATCAGCAGCCGAGGAAGACCTCCATCGCACCTCGCAGCCCCCGAGCTGGCCCAATCCATGAGCTGAGAAAGGCAGCCACTTGTTCAGAAGCAATTTTGGGCTGAGGGCACCCGGCTGCTTGGCACCTGGATGGGTGCACACACATCCCCATCCTGATATCGAGTGGGATTTGCAGCCGTCCTGACCGCTGCAGCCAAGGGAAAGGAGCCAGGGAAGCTGCAGGAGATCGGTGGGGAAGCAGCAGCTACCAATATGGGGAACGGCACCTCCCAACGGTTGCATCTCTGATTCCAGCCCTGGTCTACAGCAAGCGCTGCTTTCCTCCATCCAGCATCCAACTGACGCCCCAGCAGAAGAAACCTCCAAAGAAATCCCTTCGAGCACCCCCGTGCTGCTTGTCATCATCTTGTCAAGGCGAGTGTCTTTCTAAGGCCCGTCCCCAAGAGTCGTGCTTTGGGTACGGCAGAAGGCACCGTGTCCCACCACGGGGATGGGTTGACCACGGCCACCACCATCGCAGCGATGGGCCCCTGCAGTAGCCGATCTTCCTGCTGCCATCCACGTTGGTCAGGACGAAAGAAAAGGTTTCACTGCAAGGAGAGACAACACGTGGGGACAGGATGGCTCTTCCAGCCCGCAGCCCTCAGGGGTGTGACAGCATGGGGTGGGAAACCACGGCCAAGACCCCGCAGCGGGGCAGGTACCTGGTGAACTCCGTGACAGGAGCCCACTGCAGTAGCCGATCTTCCTGCTGCCATCCACGTTGGTCAGGACGAAAGAAAAGGTTTCACTGCAAGGAGAGACAACACGTGGGGACAGGATGGCTCTTCCAGCCCGCAGCCCTCAGGGGTGTGACAGCATGGGGTGGGAAACCACGGCCAAGACCCCGCAGCGGGGCAGGTACCTGGTGAACTCCGTGACAGGAGCCCAGTTGTTGCCGTCGGGGAAGCAGAAGAGGGGGATGGCTTGTAAGAGACGTTCCTCCTCCTCCTTCTGGCCCTTCAGCAAGTTCTCACGCTGGAACGAAGCGATGCCGAGTCAGGGTGATGGAGGGTGCCCATAGCCCCAGGGGACAAGGTGGGACGGGGTGGGATGGGGGGTGTCCCAAAGCAACCCCCGGCTCAGACCAAAGCAGACGGTGCCCACGCATCCCTGGACAAGCATTTCTCCAGAATCCAGTTTTTGACACATTTACCCCACGGATAGTGGGGCAAAGCAGAGGCACCCAGGGGCCATTGAGCAAATGTGGGGTCTCCTCCTGTGCCACCTCCCCAAGGTGTGATTTCACTGCTGTGGTCTCCCCTTCAGGGACAGGAGAACAGGGAACACCCCTGGGGTTTGAGGCCTGGCTTGACCCACCGGGAGGGACAGATGGTCCCAGAGAGCCCAGCCCACAGCAAGCAAAGCCCTGGGGTTTGGGTCTGTGACTCCAGGGCACGGGGTATTTTTCTGTTCTGCTCCCCGGATTCTAGTGACAAGGAAGGAGCAACATCCCCTTTTCCTCTAAATTTGGAAAACTCGTCTTCCCAGAAACACAGGACTAAATACCTTTGGGAACTGGTAGGTTATTTTGGGTTCATAATGTCCATCTGGCATCTTCTTCAGTGACACCACCACCAGGTACTCAAAGAAAAACTGTCCAGCAGAATAGAAGATGGAGCTCCGCTCTCCTGGTTTCCCCTGTGGCACCCGCAAGGGGCTGTTTTCTGCAGCAGAGGCCTCCTCTTTTCCTTCTGTGGCCAAAAAAAAAACCAGAGCAGAGTGAGATGAAAGGTGGGAGGTGTCCTGAGGGCAGGAGAGGAGGTGCAGAGCTAGACATGAACTGGCCAAAGCAGCTGGAGGGAACCCAGACCTGGTGCACAGGGTGTTTTGGTCCCCAACAGTGAAAAGCCAGAGACGTGCAGGCACAGGACATGGAAAGGGAAGGGAAATGGCTTCTATGAGTCTTCTGGGGAAAATCAAAGTGCCATCAGGCACCCCCAGCCCTTATTTGCCCCATCCCAGTGAGGGCAGAGGGATGCCCAGAGCGAAGCCAGCACGTGGGGTGGTGAAGAGCAGACGGTCTCTGCAGAAAGCATCTGCAGGAAGGTGTGGGAATGCTTTTATAGCAGTTAATTTTATTCCCTTAGGGGGAAATACAGCAAACAAACAGCACAGATCTTGTTTGAGCACCTCCAAAGGCTCCAACAAGATGAATCCCAACACTTCCCTGCCAGATGTCCTCAGTCTTGGGAACTGCTGATTGCAAATGAGATACTCAAGCGTTTTCCCTAAACCACAGCTCCCAAACCAAAGCAATTCCCTGAGATTACATCCCATTTCTTGTTCAGCCGGTTGGGGAGGACAGCTGGGGAGCATCGGCTGTCACAACCAAAAACCTAGAAATAAAGAGTGAAAAGAGGCCAAACCGACGCCTCCAAGGGCCCTGAGATGATCATGGTGGGGCAGTGAGATCCAAGGGCCGGGAAGAAGAGGAGTTAAATGCCGGCAGGAGGCTGCAGCCAGGCCATGCCACATCTCTCCCCTCTCCCAGCAGCTGCTTGCGACTCTCTAAATCCCTGGTTCCTGGCACCAAAACTGTCCCGGGCTTGGTCTCAGCTCTGATTACAGCAGGGAGCTGGAACAGAAACACTTGAGCCGCTCCTAGGAATAACAGACAGGAAAATAAACGCATGGCTGGATGAAATAACTGACTCCTGCAATTTGTCCCCGCATCCTGGAGTTTGGCCCTGGGCACTTCTGGTTGTGTTGCAGCTCGGCAGGGCAAGGCATGCCCGCGGCCACCTGCTCCCATCGTCCTTCTGTCCTGTGCATGACATCCTCCTCCGAAAGCAGGACTGGTGACACCCCACCCCGTGTATCCCCCTGGCTCCGTAGCTGCCTCCTTTGGTCTGGAAACACCCTTCTGGCCTTCGCTCCAGGTCATCGGGAGCCAACGGGAGCAGAAAGCTTATCCAAGGAGGTGACACTCACAGTCCCATCATGGGATGTCCCTTCCCAGGGACCAGAAATGCCTCGCCCAGCTCGAGGTGGGGAGATGTGGGAAGCCGCCCCCGCGTGCACCCTGAGGCCGCTCCACCTCCGCATGCAAAGTCCTTCCTCTTGGCAAGGCAAAATCCACCCCAGAGGGGTCCCTTTGCAGCAGGGGGAAGCCCAGGAGCATCCCGGGGATGAGACCTGGCTGCAGACACCTCTGGTTTGTCCTTGGTGGGGATCACCTGTGTGACAGCCCAGCAAGGTGCTCCAGGCCAGGGAAAAAAGGTTGACAAGATGCACTTTGCTTCTCCTGCTCCTCCTTGGGATGCTCCAGCAGGAGGCTGTGGTTGGGGGGACCCCAGGGAACTGGGCTGTGCAGTGGGGAGGGCTGTTGGTGTCCCCCATCCTCGCTGGATGCCAGCATCAGTTGTTTCCCATTGCAGATTGCCAGGGTAAGGCGAAAGCCCAGCTAAACCCTGCCTACCCAGTCCTGTCCCACAGTTCACAGAATACAAGATGCGCTCTCAAGCAAGGGCTGGATTTGCATCTTGTCCATGGTGTTTTCAAACAGCCGAGTAAAACCCACCACTCCGGGGCGGCTGGTCACGCCGGGATGCGGGTCAGCCTCTCGCCGACAGACCCACGCGCCTGCCCAAAGCGCAACCCGGCGCAGCGAGCCCTGCCGAAAGCACGGCGTCCCCCGGCAGAGCTCCCCCGTGCCAGGTCTGGCTGCAAAGCCCTCACTGGCGGAGCCTAAATCCCTCCCGGAGCATAATACTCCATCCCTGGGATGGAAGATGAGCGCCAGGGATGCACAGAGCCATGCCCTGTTGTGCAGCATTGGATGGGTTTAAAGTGGCATGAGAGGTCCCTGGACTCCTCAAAACCAGCAGGGTTCGCAGTCCTGGGGACACAAGCCACTGCCACAAGAGCTTTGGCCAACGACTCTCCTGTAGCCCGTGCAGAGAAGACTTGGGGACCACCCCACAGACCCCCAGCATTGGGAGCATCCCCTGCGAGGAGGGGAAAGAGCCACGCAGCCGAGGGGGCTCACGCAGCTCCAGGATGGGAAGCAGTTGCTGGTGCTGTGGATTTTCATCCCTCCCTCAGCCGGGCACGGAGAGGGCAAAGGCTGCCACGGGGTGCCCTGGTCCAGGCGGAAACGGCACCGGGGCTGCCGGCGTGAAAAGACATTTTACTGCACAAGCAGCTTCCCCGACCCGAGCGGGGTTTTCTTATCAGCCGAGGGCTGCGCTCAGACTTGCGTTGCGACGCAGTACAACCTGTTTCGTTCCTCCCGGAAAACTCCCAGGCTGCGGCGTGCCAAAATCTCCCAGCCTGGCACGACGGTTGGCGGGGGAGCTCTGCTTCCCGCGCCGTGCGGCCGCCCACCTGCCCCAGCAGAGAGGAAACGGCTTTTGCTTTATCAAACCTTTTCTGCTGAGGTTGGAAAATCGTATGTCACACCCGGGGCAAGAACCAGCCAGCCCAAAACAGACCTGGGGTGAGGGGGTAGGGAGGGGACTTGCAGTGAGCCCCCCAAATCCAGAGGTTGCCCCAACTTGTTCTGCTGTGGGTGAGCAAGAACCAGCCTGCCCAACTTGAGGTCTGGCAGGCCAGAACCCCCCGACAATCCATCCTGCGTCTCAGAAAACCTCACAAATCCCGAAGGATCGATTTCTGCACCGTCCTCTAAAGGCTCTGCCACACTGACCTGCCTGGGGGGCACCGTGCCCCCCCCGGATGCCCTCGATGCCACGTTCTGGCGATGCTGCCCTCAGTGGGTGAACGGCTGGGAAAGCTTTTGGGGATGTGGGG